CCTCCCACCACCTGTTCCCATAGCTGTCATTCCTATCCCGGTGGTCCCTGCCAACCCTGCGGCCCCTCCCATTCAGACTGCTTCGTCCCTTCACACAGCCTCCCCTATGCCAGTGGTCACACCCTTGGCCACAGCCCTGTCCCCACCAGCAGCCCCCCTCCTCAGCCCCAATGGCAAGGATGCCCACTCCCCTCCACAGCAGCAGCAGCAGCAGCAACATCCTCACTTGATCGCACACATAAAAGCAGAAGCTAACAGCTTGCCTCTGTCGAATAACAGTCCCAAGCAGCAACCGCAGACGCAACAGATGCAGGCACTTTTGCAACCATATCCAGCCCCCATCATCACAGCCCAGCCTTCACCACAGCAACTCGCCCTCCTGCCCCAGCCAGCACTACCCCAACCTCAGCCCACACCGGCCCAGGGTCAGGCAGGTCAACCGCCCAGGCCTAACGGAGCTGCTGTGGAAGAGCCACGCAGCCTGGATGGGAAAAGGAGACCTGGAGGGTGAGCTGTGTTTTGTGACTTCATACAAGAAAACTGAAGAGATTATTTTTAAAGCGGAGGAGATTAAACTGTATGACACACATCTGTAATCATAACTGAACAAAACTGGGTTGGCTATTTTGTTATGAGATTGCAATTTTTAAAAAGTAGGCTGCTGTCCTGTACGATGACCCATGAGGAGAAATAACGCTGCCCCTCAAGTCATGCTGTGTGTTTGTAGGTTGCAAACTAAATTTGTGATTTCTGATATACATATTTTATGTGGAACACAAAAGGAGATAATTTGAGAACGTTCACGCTGCTCTTTTGCATACAATGCTAACAAGGTTTGAGGATGTTAAAGGAATAGTTCACCCAAAAATCTAAATTCTGTCATTAATTACTTCCCCTCATGTTATTCCAAACCCGTAAGACCTTCGTTCATCTTCGGAACGCAAATTAAGATATTTTTGATGAAATCCAAGAGCTCTCTGACACTGCATAGACAGCAATGCAACTGAAATGTTCCCAGGCTCAGAAACATATAAGGACATTAAAATAGTCCATGTGACATCAGTGGTTCAACCGTAATTTTATGAAGCTACGAGAATACTTTTTGTGCACAAAGAAAACAAGAATACAGACTTTATTCAACAATTCTTCTCTTGCTCGTCCCATGCTCCATTACCGCGACGCATGCGCATTGCTTTCCTCTGCACGTGTTCATGCGCATGTTGTTTATGTGCAGAGGTACTCTCGATAATGGCGGAAGATGTGATTTTGAGGAGAAGAATTGTTGAATAAAGTCGTTATTTTTGATTTCTTTGTGCACAAAAAGTATTCTCGCAGCTTCGTAAAATTATGGTTGAACCACTGATGTCACGTGAACTGTTTTACCGATGTCCTTACTACGTTTCTGAGACTGGGAACATTTAGTTGCATTGCTGTCTATGCAGGGTCAGAGAGCTCTCGGATTTCATCAAAAATATCTTATTTGTGTTCCAAAGATGAACGAAGGTCTTACGGGTTTGGAACGACATGAGGGTGAGTAATTAATGACAGAACTTATTTTTGGGTGAACTATCCCTTTAAGCTGCAAAAAAGTAACATAAAAGTAGATTTGTTTTACTCTTTCACTATATTCTGAAGCCGTATGATATTGTCATGTGGAAATATTTGCTGAGAACTCAGATGAAAGTCTGTTGCAGCACCTAAATATCATTTACATATTTTAAAATATGGATCATCAAAACACATTGAGATTTATGTATCATCATTCATCACCGCACAGGGCTCATCCAGTTTAAATAAATAAAAATCAGAGTTTTGAAAGTTGGCATTGAGAATGAACTACATTTAACGGAAACAAAACTGAAATCACATTATGGCTTAGTGTGATTTAATTAAATACATATATGCGCTGCATGTTTCAGAGTGAAGTGAGGCACTGTATTCTTTTACTTGCGAGCAGCTCATGATCCAGTGTTTTTAGTTTCTCAGAGAGGCTTGGTTCACAGTAAATGCTGTTTCACACAAACTCTGTCTCTGCATGTGTTCTGAGTTTGCATCGCTTATAACGTGCATTCGAGAACACACCATGTACCAGTCATCTTTCAAAATTGTAATGAGAAGTGCTTATAAAACCTGCTGTTGTCAACAAAAGAGACACTTTCAGGGCTCTCTGTGGCCCAAATAAAAGCTTGATGTTTTATCATTTGAAAATGAAGAAATAAAGACTTAAATGTTAAATACTCTATTTTTTTATTTCACAGTGGAATATTACAATACTGATATTTAATATTTTGTTTAATATTTTTAGTTAGTAGTAGGCGTAATAATAATTTTGGATGATTTGTGCAGCACAAGCACAGCAAACCTGAAGTTTTTTTTGTTTTTTTTATATTGCGTAATAACATTTTTCCCCCCAAATCATGCCAAGTTTTGGTCTGCTGTTCTCATGAAGCTATCATTTGGCTTCAGAAGACTCATACGGACCACTTATTATAGTACTTTTATATCTTTTGTTTTTTCAGAGCTTGACAACCCCTGCTCAGTGTTTGATGTCATTGTTTGTGTAAGAGCTGTATGAAAATCTTTCCTTTTGTGTTCACTAGAAGAAAAAAATGTTTGAGAGTGAGCGATGACAGAATTTTCTTATTTGCACATACCTGCAACAGACCATGATATAAAACGTAATGGGTTGATTTGTTAGTTTACATATATATTCAATATTTTTCCCACAGGGCTGGAACTCGAGAAGTTCACAACAAGCTGGAAAAGAACAGGTGGGTTAACTTCTGTTTACATTTTTGTTTTTATTAATTTTGACGAACAGAAGCTGCGCATGTGAAGTCATTGAGTAGCCTTAAAGGGCTCATATGATGTTGCTAAAAAGAACATTATTTTGGCGCAAAATTGATGTATTTCCTCAGCGACCAGCACGGATCAGCTCTAGGCAGATATCCTCCTCTTTTGGAAGGCCAAGCAAAGTAGTTTTGCTTTCACAATGAAACACACAGCGTCTTCACGACATGGCGGCGGCGGCAACAACAAAACTACAGCGAGAATAAAAGTTACGCCTTCTTTCTTTGCGTGAACATTTGGGCGGCGTTATGCAAATCTTCCCACATCGTGACGTAGACATGTGTGGGCGTGTTAGAACGAGCCGTTTTAGGTAGGTGTGGTTGACTCTTTTATAAAGAATATCTCTTTGGATTTGAGACTTTAGTCTTTGCAACTTTACAGATCTTCTTTATGCACCAAGAGCTTGTAACTCTCCAAAGAGAAAGGAAAAATTGAAATCGCATCATATGACCCCTTTAATGTAAGTTGTATGGTTGCTGGACTGGTCACAGAAACATCAACCCTTGTCGCTTTGCAATTAGTGCACTATTTGTTTTTACTGGCTTGAAGGCCTTTGCCCTACTAGTAACCACAGTAACAAATATTATATTACAAAGCAATTGCCTTTTGACTTCTTTATTGCTGTTACTTCCATCACCAAATCACTTTGCCTAAACATCTGTTAAAACTCTCACTTGCTTTGCACAAAACTAAAAGAAACTGAATGATCAGTGCTTTTCTTTCTGTCACAGACGGGCACATCTGAAAGAATGCTTTGACACCCTCAAGAAGCACGTTCCTAATGTGGATGAAAAGAAAACTTCCAATTTGAGTGTCTTGAGGAGTGCGCTCCGCTACATTCAGGTAAATCAACGATGGGATTGGATATGAGTGCTATAAAAGGTTTTAAATGCATCCAATTGAAAATAAATTATATTTTAATAATATAATCAATATATTTTGCATATAAAAGAAGCCTATTTTTAGGGCCATTAAGAATACTAACATTGAAAAATATATCATTTCTCTCCTTTGATTTCTGAGGGTAAAGGTTTGATGACCCAGACATGTTTTTATGAGATCACCTAGAAACACACATCCATCCTTATTCCATTCGTAGGATAACTGGTGTGGACTGTTACGTCTGCTTGTAAAAGTTCATGTTTGAATGTGAGGATGGAGTTTTGATTGGGAATGTTTTTCCTCGTTGGCTGCCAACTTGAATTCATACAAAAATTATAATTAAATTTATTCCTAAAGCATATTTTATGGTAATAACGAATAACAACAGAAAATGTGTTGGGAATAGGTCACAAGATGGGGATTTGTAGTCCGTTTTCTCCTTATTCTCTCGTTCTCACCCTCCCACCCACATAGGCTTCTCCACACATACTCTACTGGCAGAATTGTGTCACATGCATCTGCCAAAACATCCTGGGTCGAATTCTTCTCCGTGTGCGCTCATTATATCTTTTCCTTACCCTTTCCCTGTTCTTTTCTTACCAAGAGGTATACTTCTTTTTTCCACTTGGCTGTTTCTCTATCCATCTGGTTTTTCTTTGTCAGCTAAAAATGTTAATTTGAGCATATGAAAACCTTTATTACATTTTGCACATTTAGGATTAATTTGGTGGTCAATGACATGTTGTTAAAGTGCATATAAGTTTACCCGGATCAGAACATTAACACTGACGTAGATACAGCTGACATAAAAAGTGCCAAGGTCACGGTCGAATTTGCAGACTGCAGCCGCAACAATTAGTATAATAGTGTGGGCGGAAAGGTGACCTGTTTATGAAAGACATATCTTTGAGTTATGATCTCAAAAGCTATAAAACTGAAGCCGGCGATGGTTATAAAGACACGATAAACACAAGCGAGGGAATGTGGGCCGCCCGCTCGCACGCTACTCTGTTTCCCATCCCCCCTCCCGCGTCTGCTTGTTTGAGCTGCTCCCGAGTCCACGTGAGGCATGAGCACATGGTGAGCGCGAGCCCGGTGACGTCAACTGCTGTAGTCCTCCCCTCCCTCTCTCTCCCTCAGCGTGCGCATATGGCAAGCCGTATTAGCATTAAATACTTCTTGCTGTACTAGTCATAATTTAGTTTTGACTAGTCAAAATTCCAATTCCAGATATCTATTCTGCAATTTTGACTCGTCGTAATTGGAATTAAGATATCTACAATGTGATTATGACTAGTCATTATATGCATTGAAGATATCTACAATGTTATTTTGACTAGTCATAATATACATTCGAGATATCTACAATGCTATTACGACTAGTCATAATCTTCCATTGACTTCCATTGGAAAATATTTTCGGATATCTTCAAATGGGTTTTGACTAGTAGAAACTGTAATTAAAGATATCTCTTAATTGATTTTGTACTAGTCATAATTCTAATTAGAGATATCTCTAACTGAATTACCACTAGTAAAAATTAT